CTGCCGGCTCTCTATTCAGTTGTGGTCCAGCTGTTGTGCTTACGTTGTATTTGTTATTTTTGCATTCATCTCTAGCAATGCTATAATAGAAACTTCGGTGCACAACAAGTCACTTTCTGAGCCGCCGACTGTTCCGACGTCAAATAACTACGCCAATTCCATTTATTCATTATTAGTTATTGTATCCCTTGGGGTTGTTGTTGGATATTTCACACAACTATGTCGCCTGCCAAGTCTCCTAGGTATGCTGGTGGTCGGCATAGTATTAAGAAATGCGCCCGGAATCAGTGGGTATTTGTTTGTAATCAAGGAATGGAGTGTTGTACTGAGAAGGGTTGCTTTTATTGTGATTCTACTTCGTGGTGGACTCTCTCTTGATGCGGACGCGATCAGGCGGTTAAAGGGCGCTTGCATTCGACTATCCTTGACTCCTTGCACGGTAGAGACGCTAAATAGTGCTGGTATGGAAAATGATGTCACACTCGTGATCAGGACATCGAATAACATCGATAGACAAAGTTTCAGCGAAAATTTTTTTGAGTTCTTGGGATAGGAATAGTTCAATAATGCCTAGTTCTCTTTATTGTCAATTTCTTCATCCTTGCTCTTCTTTTCGTTTCTACCCTCGTGACAGTCCGGGGGTCGTCGGGCCTTTTTTTTTAGGGGGAAATGATCACAACGCAATGGCGTGCCTGGCCGAGGGGGGTGGAGCTAGTTTAGGTCGGGCGCGTCGCTGTGCAGGTGACCGTGCATGAGTCTCGCGCTTGGGTTGGGGTTGAAGATGAAACGTACATCAGCCGGTTATGAAAGCCGTATAACAGAGCTATTAAACGCACCTCAAATTTGGGTAACTAACCGATTACGGTGCGATTGTGTGCGTTCACGACGCAGCATCTCTTCATGCGCAGTTTTCGGGGGTACTGTACGCAGCCTGACAACCTGAACTTCTAATCTTGTGGTAGCAGCATAAGGCGAAAGACCCATGCTTTTTATCAACAGTCTGCTGCTGGTCGCTGGTTGACCTGCCGCGAAGTATGAACACAGCGTGATAGCCATTCGAAGTATCCGCATTGTGCGCTGCGGACTTTTAGAGGGTCCAGGATTGACACTGCCCTTTTATACATCCTGTAATCTTTCGCCAACTTCGTTAGCGTTTTCATCAATTCTAGTCGCCGTTTCTGCACACTGTAGGAGCGGCGTACAGTGGCTGACACGGCCAGGCCGTATAAGCACTAGATGGAAAGTTCACCTTCCACACACACAGTGTACAATTAAATACGAGATGAAATATTATACAGTAAAATATGACAAAACAAAACAAGTAACAGCGGCACATTGAGACCATAGAAGGATGTAGATATGTGAAAATTGCTTATCGTCCCTAAGGAGGGCTCTAGTCCAGGACGTCCATAACGCGGCATCCTGCGCAAACTAGCCACAGTCCTAGGTAGTTGATTCGACAAAGCACTCTTGGTGTGTCCAATCAGTACGCTGGAATACGTCCCACTCCGTTCATTTGACGGTCTCGTATCATTGTAAGGTACCGAAAAGCGTTGGATTTTACGCTAAAGTGCTGTGGTGAGTCAATTAGCTAGTAGCGCTGGCCTGAGTGTCATGTGTCACGGTTATCTTGAACTGCACCCCATCAGGAGCAGTGTTAACAGGAGAACAAATGATAAAAGAGCTCCTATCACAACTAGCATTGATAAAGATCACAACTGTGAGAGTGTGTTCACACTTCGCATCAGTGTTCCGAGCGACTAACGAACCATGAGTATCGATCTTTTGAGCGTATGCCAGCCTTTCTACGCTTCGCGGGAAGTTATGTGATATTGGCGGGCAGTCGCTTAAAACGCGGGCGTACTCTCCAAACGCTCAAAACACTGACACAAAGTATGAATGCAGCCTGGTGGTAGACGAAGAATGAATGCGGATGATGGGTGGATTTTGAGCCTTCAGTACTACTGTACTCCCGACTGCTTCGGACTCTGGCACTTTCATGCAGTGGGCGAGAAGTACGTTTGGCTGCACTCAGATTTCGGTCATTATTGATCGGAAATGACTTCCTCGTCGTTCGATAGACTCTTCCTCCTGGATATCCGTAAACCAGTCGTCATTAGTGCATTGGTCGTAGTTTTGTTGCTGCTAAACAACTTGTGATGAATGGCAGATCGAAAGGAACGAAAACTATAAGTTTAATTCGACAGGTCACGGACCGCCCTTCTGCAAAGATTTCTGCTCCAACTTGTCTTTTTTACACTGATAATCATTTAGCTAATCTGCTTTTTCTTCGTACTCTTATGAGGCATCTGCATTCCATGTCCATAGATGTATTCTGGTTACCTTTGATCATGAAAAAGATACCAAATAGGTAATATGAATTAGCGCAGAGGGAAGAATTCATGACACACCAATAGTGTCACGCGTGGTTCGAAACGTGTTGACTATACCAGTGATCTGACTTCAAGCAACACTGCAGGAAACGCCTACCGTCCGCGCGGTCTCCAAAACAGATTCACGCTCGGGCTTATCGAATACTGCATGTCAAGCAACTCGGGTAACTGGCACTAGCTTTCTTTGGGAGAACAAAACTCAAGGGTTATTGTACCTGCGTGTCATTACATCAGCCTAATCCGCGCTCTCGTATGTATACATTTCAACTAGAGATAAATCCCAAGTACATCGCGTGCCATTGCTCAAATACGGTCGCCCTTTTGTTTTTCTACGAATATGCCCTCAAGGGAATAAGGAGAAGGATCAAGCTTGCTGAGCGACACGCTGAGTTCGGAAAAGCTTGCTGAGGCTTGAGTGGCAGCTAGCTCTCTGGCTTTCTGAGAACTGAAGTGCTTATTTCTTTTGATCCCATCGAATTGAGATAGGAAGGAGCATCAGTTTCAGTTCGTGCATCCGGAGAGATAGGGTATAGCGAACTGTCGTGTGAACGCAGATCCACCAGTGTGGTGATCTGGACGAGTTGTCCAGATTGGAGGGCGCATCAGCGACAATGAGGTCGCACCACACGACAGCCTTTCCAGAGAAATAACAGCAAACATGCTCAGTGGAGTCCTTCTTGGGTTCACGTCATAGACTCACATCGAAAGCAAGTCACATAAGCACGGCTCACTCCCAAGCTGCACTGCCGACGAGCTTTCCGACCGATATTTCACCAGATTTTCGCTACAAGAAAAAATAAACGCGAATGATGCACTACTCATTTGCCGAGCTTGGCAGAAATGGTGGGGAAGGGGAGGAGGGGGGGGGGGTAGCTTGTGTGATACGTAGGTCACTACGATCCAGTACTGGCATTTCACAAGGGCTCTCTGATACCTTTTTTCCAAATTGCAGTATCTGTAGGAGCACAGCGTTTCTTCCTAGAAAGGTGAAACATTTTCGGGGGCGCCATCGCGTCGCACTGCCCTATTTCACATAAAGTGTATCACAGGGTGCAGAAGGATATCAGCCTTCTATAATATTTTTCCACTTCTACTAATTGGGAGGAATTCAATACACAGTAATAATCTCCCTAGTCGCTGCTAATCTGTGCAAGTACACAGTCGAAGCGGTGAGGAACAGGTAGGGTCAGGGGTTGAAAGCCGTGGGTTGGACATATATAGCGGTAAGTAGTGGTACTTCCAGACTTTTATCTTCGGAGTAGAGGGGTGGGGGGAAGGGGTGTGTACCGGAAGCGCGTAACCCAGCAACGTACTTTTCCATGAACGAGGCGTTGAGGAATATGCTTATGTGCTCGGACGACTTGGGAACCCGTACAAAATCCTTTCGTGTGGTAAAACCGACTGAATGCGAAGAAGCGAATCCAGAAAAAAAACGATCATAATCGCCGTTTCATGTATTGCAACCTCGTAGGCTACCCTTATGATGTCGCAAGGGGGGGGGGAGAGGGAAGCGCTCCCAATGCAGGCTACGTGCGAAGTTTTCCCCGCAAAGGACACGCGAAAGGCTGGGAGGATTTGTGCGGTCCAAACAATGTGAAAAAGAAGCGAAAGCAGACCTGCTCGAAATGCTGCATAAGGAGCCCTATGCTCTACTGTGTTTCTACGTGCATAAGGCGTGGTCGGACGAGTTTTCACTCGTTGTTGCCAGCTCTTTCCCGTCAAAAATGTAACCACTTCTGCCCTTGACAATGATACTCTTAACGCTTCATTTATGTGCAGCAGCACATAAATGAGAAGAGGTCCGGTGAATTTAGTCCACAGCATGCACATACAAAGCCATTTCTTTCAGAGAGGTTGTTGGCATGATGCCAGTGGGCAACTCGCCCAAATTGAGCCATTCTTAGTCGTATACTAGTTAGAACACGGGCAAATTTGCAACATTCTCTCAAAATTCAACACGTCCGCTATCTTGCCAGCGAAACAGTTATCCTGCCTTACGCCTCTGAATGAAGTTGACTGCTTCGCGACAGCTCGTGCCACCCATGCCAGCTGTTGGTCAGGAAGCGCCATTTTCGATAGTAAAGCGTCTATTTTGCTTAGCTCCTCAGTGAGTTAGCAAGTGTAATTGTGACAGTGTATGTAGTGTATGTATGTCATGTAGTAGTTGTGGCAGTAATGTCAAGCTAAGACCTCTCTCACCCTATCGTCTCAAAAATAAGTTAGATGTAAGAATATATAAGAATAAGAAGATATATCTCAAGATAACGAACCATTCTTCTGTCTAGTGCCAGCTGAAGAGCCATGTCTACCAGTAGTTTTCGTCGATTTTGTAACAGAAACGCGAGTTCGTCCTTGGCGCGTTTCGAGCGCTCAGCGAGCCATTCCTGTGCAGGCAATAATTGAACACAATATTTGTAAGAGTATGATCACTCCTATAACTTTACCTGACTCGCAAACATGTTGTTCATTCCGGTGAGATTGCTTCTCAGACTATTAGATACCACCACTAGGCTCAATTGGTCCAACTGATTTTGATGAACCTGAAATTCTCCGAACTATTGAGTTGAGCTCAGATTTCGTACCCTCTAAACACTTGAGTTTTGAGCGCATGAACTTCATGAATTTCTAGGTTTGAGCTCCGGAAATGTTCTTTTTTTTGTTCTTTTTTCCAAAGTTTTCGTGGGCTAGGCTAGGAACGTCTTTGACTTCCCACAGCGCAAAAATTAATTTTTTCGTGTTTAAAATCGCAATGTCGAATGGAAATCGTGGCTTACAGTCGTGGGAATCGTCCTCACTCTACATCGGAACAACGCTCTTCCAACGGCTTTCTGTATTCTCGCATCCGATACGCAGTAGATCGGCAAACGCATCAGGCAGCCGAAGACGGTGAGCTGAAACCATCGGGCATTTCCTACAGTATATTGTAATTAGACGATCTATTAGGCTGTTTCAAGCTGTTAACTAGCTGCTGTTTAACGCCGCAGTACGCGATCCGAAAGCTATCACAAGAATGCTGAGTTATGGGCAAAAGTCGGACCACGGACGGGATTCGAACCCGCATCTTCTGCTTACCGGGCAGTTGCGTTCCCTATTACGCTACCGAAGGCCACTTTTGACCACTCAGCTCAATGTGATAGCTATTAGGCTGTGTTTATACTTGCGGCAGGGACCACCAGCAACCAGCAGAGTCAGCCAGCGACCAGCAGCGTACAGCAGTGAGTAGTATGGGGAGATGGGAGGGTAACAAACAGCTATCTTTCCACCACCCACTGTTCGTCTTGTTGGCGAATCAACAGTCTGTTACCCTCCTATCTTCACTCTTTACTCCTAGACACTCACTCACTCACTTCTATTGATCGCTGCTGGTCGCTGGTGGACGCTGCTGGTCGATGCCGCGAAGTGAGTGAGCGCAGCCTTACCATGCAGTTACTTATAAGTGCTTATCACTCACTCTTCGTCTTGTTCGTCCCCCACCCTCTTATCACTTAAATCGGCACAACAGGATGTGGGATTCTGACATAATCCATGTTGATCTACTCACCAAAGAAGCAATGTCTGACGCAATAAGAAAGCCATAGTAGTTACTGTGTGCTCCGCTCGGTGCCAGATATTCCCAGAATCCGATGATAATTGAGACGAGATTGGATAGCAGATAGCAGCCAACGACTAACACCAACGTCTTTGTAGCTGTTCGTACGCCCCGTTTCTCTCGATACAGCTCCTTGATCGATCTGAAGGGATATAGAGTCTGCTTGATTACGAAAAGGTGATCTGTGGGGACAAGTTCAGCGTGTGCGTGGGAACTTGAAATGCTTGCGAGCGGTCGCATCGGTATCACTAACAAGATCTCATAGCTAGTGCCTATTGGAGCAGTACTGAATCTTACAGGAAACGTTCACCATCACCGACCCCTTAATAAGCCTGCCCGATCAATAATTCAAACAATTACTGCATTTATACCCGGTCAGCAAGTCCCGCTGCTCCCAGACTGCAGTTTTACCGGACACCCTTTACTGTGATTATATTTGTGGAGTCATGATCGTGGGAGTCCCCTCATTGGTAGGTACCTCCACTTTTCCAACATCCCAAGAATAACTGACCACTGAGAAGTCAAGTGATCTACGTGACCACGGTCACAAGACAGTTGTGAAATTTGTGTCCTCAACTTGTTTTTTTTTCTCTTACGAAGTTGATAGGTGGTACTATTTATTCAATACGGTCTAATGTTTTGACCGGATTGTCGCGTTAGGAGGCTACGACGGTAAGGAAATGTGGGTGTCGTTAAGGCAGTCTTCCCGATGACGCGCGTTGACCACTGCAGTGGCTCTCCGCTATAGACGAGTATCGATCGGCGCCGGCCGCTTGTGCTTTGAGGGAGTATAGAAGTACAGGAGCGTGATCTTGTGTGTGGCTGGGTTCCCGTGCATAACATTAAAGCACTAATATAGCGATAGCGCGTCGACATGCGTCACAGCCAGATGACGCGCGTCAGCGCTAAGTATGAACGCTGCCTACGTTTAGTAGCTTGTCAGTAGAAGTCAACGAATGTGCAATGTCTACCATCAAGGAATGTCGCCCTGGGTAACGCACCTCTAGTCCACTTATTCCTGAAAGATAAAACTCGTCAAAGCGGCTGCTAACTTGGTGCTGCCAAGGAATACTGGTTGTACTCTGGGCTGCCATATCAGATATTCAACTCAATGAGCCCAGCTTGGGCGCCATTGCATTCGGAGTCGCTTAAATGGCCCGTCCTTACCGAGATTATCTGAGGAACCCTTTGTTCATTTTGTCTTAGGAAAGATTCCTGCATGAAGGTAATTCAGAAATTTCATTGAAAAGGGTCACTTTTCCTTCAGGATAGCTTATCACAAGAAATGGCTTACGATGTCCTGACGCTGCTCCTGGCTGAACGTTTTTTGATCGATTTTTTCTGGGATTCTTTCTGTTTATGACGCATCTCCATGACGATTCGGCAATTGCAATAGATGAGAATGATGAACGGCATGATCACCGTGAGGATTTTCCGACTCCAAAAACGTATCGCGGCCAGAGCGTCGAGTTGATTGGCCAACACAGGAACGTACCTGAAATATAATAGTAGTGGTAAGAGATGTTTCAGACACCGACTCGCGAGGAATTATGAAGAACGCGCTGTGGCGCCAATGGCCGAATTGCCCGAAATTTCCTAATCACTGTGACCCTCATGGTTCGTGCTGTCATACGACCCCTCCCTAGATGGGACTCCTCCAGCGAATTTGTATCCATTACATAAGCCTACGAAGTGCTATAGAGAATCGCGAACTATGCGCTGTTTGATGTAAGCCTGGCAAAGCAAGCGCAGCATCCGCTCCAAGGCCAAAGTGGTTTGAAGTAGCAGTCCTACAGCGCGTACAGTCTATCTGAGGACAACAAGAGGTGGCGCTGCGAGAGCGGCAAGAGCTCAGACGAAAAAAAAGCAGGGTATGTGCATTAGAGGAGAGTCGACACGAGAGTACACAGCTGTTGTGAAGAGGGCTTCACGATATCAAGTTGAGTTAACGACGCTGCTGTTTTGGAGGGAGCGCGTTGCACTTTACCGAGTTCCTTATTGGTTCATTTAAATAGTAGATCTTGTTCTAGTCAGACCTGTAAACTCTCGTGAAACTGCGAAATTATCAGACAAAGGTACTCCGGTCACAGGAATTAACAGGCCTTCACAAGGTTGCCGGCATAAGCTTGCCTGAGTACCAGTTGATGCCCCCACCAAGCCGAACGGGATAGAAAATATTCTTCTCACTCGCAGCTGCAACTGAGGGATCCTGGCCTACGCTGATGGGTTAACCATATTCACCACGAACGTTTCTCCTCGTGTCTTTGACCAAAAATTTTCAGCTTTGACAGAAGTCGAAAGTATTGATAGAAAATATAGAAAACCGCTTCATTTTTATCATTCACTCAGGTTCATTACTCCAGATGAAAGCCATCCATCAAAAGAGTGAGAACAACACTCAGAGCATTTTCTGCCGACCCCCCAGAAAGTGAACGAGCTGGACTTATTTCGGCGGTATTGAATTATCGATTGATAAATCATCGTGTTCGATGGTCTCCAATATCGCGTTGAGCCCAAACGTGGACCAGGGTTTTGTGACAGAGGTTAATCTTAATGTTCCCCCTACAACAAAATATCAATAAGAAAAGTAATTTCCTTTGAAATTACCTTAGTTATTCCCAAGAAAAGGCTGATAAACGAACCTTTCCAGTTCGTCGCAGTGTGGGAGGTAATCGATCCTCGTCTCCAGCAGCACGGTTCCTTTCAAGCCGATTGCCAACAGGATAATGGCTATAATTTTTCCAGCCTTTCTCTTCACCAGTACCACCAGAATCATCTTCTGAAATCACAAAATATTGAATAACAAAAATACGCACACAAATATTAAAACTGGGATACGATTGTTGGCAAACTGAAGGCTGGAGTAGCTGTACATCTACCTTTGACTTGCGACCAAAAGTTCTTAGAGAGGTTCAACACCAGGAGCAAACACTCTAAGAAATCTTGCACACCACCACGGCTTCCGTAAAATCAACCCTTGGAAATTATGAGGTGAATTCATCCTTTTGTGCAGCGTTCAGACTTTTCAGTGATGCGCGTCAACGTGTATTACAGCGCGTTACAGCGTGCCGATGCGCGTCATCGCGAAGTTCGAATGGTGACTTATGTGACGCTAAGGGCAATCGCGAGTTCTCATTTGGTACTGCATGCGACAAATTGCGAGGTAAGGCGCCTTCTTTCGAAATGGCTGAAACAGCGCAATTTGACACGGCGCGGGCATTTTTATGGTTCCGATCGATCACTGCCGATGCCTCTTGTAAAGACCTATAAAGTCCTGTAAAGCTCTGCAACAGCAGCAGCTTCGTTTACGCTTGAGAAAAGTCTACAGTCTTCACCGAGGTGAAACGTGTAATTCAACACGAACTAGCAAAGAAACACTGCAAAATGCGCCCTCCCTCTGACTCCGAACAGCTAAATTAATTGCCCTCGCTCTAGAATGTATAGGATAGAAAGGTTCATCTACAGAATGTTCACTTACTTGTTTACCTTTCGGTGAATTGGCGAAAAATCGTTCCACACTAGCCACCACCAGTAGGAAATTGCATATCGTTACACAGATGTGCTATAATTATTATTGTAGTTGATAGTATATTTCCTCCTATGATTCAATGACACCAAGACTTGAGATGACCTCCCAACTTTGTTCCCCCTTTACTGCAAAAGAAAGCAACGATACTGTTGTATTTATTATATCCAGGAGGCGTGGCTGCGCATTTCATATGAACACTACACAGTGTTCTTTTTTGAGAGTTTAGACAACTGTCATCCTGTCTTGTGCTGGCAACAGTTGTACAGAACGGCAATATCCAGCCAAGAGCGCAGCTACAGCCATGCTTAGACGAATGCGCTGCCACGCCCTTCTTATTTTCTGGATAAAGTGTGCATATATCACCATCTGTTGACGGATGGACAGATGGGCGGGAAAGGGACCTGCTTCGCTTTCTTCACAGCCGGTTCCATCCTTACTGCCGCTTTAAATGAGGGGAGGAGCCAGCTAGGAAAGCCCAGTCGTTATCTGTCTCCGCCCACACCATTAACGTGATCTGAGCCTCGAAACAGGGCGTTGGAGCAAATAGGACGAGTTCGCCCCTGTTTCGATTAAAGTTTCTGTCCCTTCGACTTTTCAGAGAAATTTTCCGATACCTTTCAAAAAGCTTTGTGTTCTTCCATGGCCATTACTGTAGCTGGAAGAGTAGGAGAGGAGGTCATGCACATGATTAAAAACCCTTTCTATTCCCAGGCTCAGCTTCAAAAGTGGGTAGAACTCGGGAGTAACGCAGGTAGCTCCCCCCCCCCCCCCCAACGGCAGCAGTTACTCGGATTATCAATCTTCTCAACCACATCTCTTATTCTGAAGACTGAAAACACTCTCCTCTGTAACAACCCTTCTCTTTAGGATACCTCTAATGGTAACTTGAGGCATAGAAGCAGGGGAAGAACTTGAATGAAAAAATGGACCTTCCAAGGACCTACTTGAATGCAGTGCACAATTCGTACATATTCGATCCAGTGAGCGATCATCGGCCGAATACTGTATCGGAAGAAAATCACTTGAGCAGGAAGTAGCAGCATGTAACACAAAGAGGTGATGACGTCGAACAGGGCCAGTAGCACTGGATTCGCATAATTCTGGCGGCGTAGACGTTTTGACGTTGAGAACACGTAGAAAAGGAGGACGTTGAAGATGATGGACAGCTGAAGACAGTGTTTCAGAGCGATCCATTGCAAATTGGAGACACCGTTCCCGCACATTATTGTCTATCCTAACTTCCAGCCACTTTTGAGAGTCTGGGGCTGTTTGGCTTCGAGAGGCATTTTGCACTTGTCTGTTAGTTCCTTTATTGGTTCACATGTTCACTAACAAGTCTCTCGTTGGTAAGACCTGTGAGCTCCTGTGACGCTGTGGAATTGTTCAAGCGAGCCACTTTGGTTACAGGAATTTCCAGGTCTTAACAAACTGGTCTGTAAAAGCATAACTGAGTACCATTTGGTGCGCCCCAAGCAGAACTGCGCCGACCTGACTAGGGAAGGTCGTCGGTCGAAGTGGCCATTTGTGATGAGATATTGTCTGAACGGAGTTATGGAGCCGCGTTTACCCAGGTCATGGGATCGGATCCCTGCTGAGCTTAACTTTTTTGCTTGTTGCGCAAACGTGGCAAAAAGTGATTTTGCCGTCACTACTACTTCAGTTCTCACCTGAGCTTGTCTGAAGAAAAGTTTGCCTCCATTTATTACTGCGCTTGGACTCCTTGTAGAAGCACTGTAGTGCACTGTAGTCTACAAGGAGTCCAAGCGCAGTAATAAATGGAGGCAAACTTTTCTTCAGACAAGCTCAGGTGAGAACTGAAGTAGTAGTGACGGCAAAATCACTTTTTGCCACGTTTGCGCAACAAGCAAAGTTAAGCTCAGCAGGGATCCGATCCCATGACCTGTTGCGTGGTAAACGCGGCTCCATAACTCCGTTCAGAGAATCGCTTTGCAAATTTTGAAGGCAGATTCAAGATCAGCGTCCAAAACCACGTCTAGTGATCTACATCTCATCACAAATGGCCACTTCGACCTGACGACCTTCCCTAGTGAGTTCAGAGAAGCGACAATTCGAGCAAACTTTCAGAGAAAAATTGATTCTTACCGTGGCAATAGCATTTCCAATAATACCGTCAATCGCGAAACGCACGCCATCCGCGTTGGCTTTCATCCGCAGTCCACAATTTCGTGTGAATGAATCATTTGCACGAAACAGCTCCATGGGGCACTGGAAGACCCTGGAACACTCTCAAATGATAATGATTTATCACCAGATGCCAAATGCTAGCAATAGAGGGCGGCCAAGAAACTCGAAATAGTTTACCATTTCGTGAAACTAATCCAACACAGATGGCACAGAAGAGGTGCCAGCACTTGCTGGAGGGTCTGAGCAGCGCTGAAGGACAGCGCCACTAGAATACAACTCCTAGCTTCGCAGGGCCTTCGAAAGGGAAATCTGTGAAGAAAGCAAACGAAGCACGAGCAAGGGTTGGGCGCAGTTTGGCGTTGAGGGGCACCTTGCACATCACTAGTTCCCTCGGTTAGTTCTTAACAAACAGGTCGCACTTTGGTCGGACCAGCAAGCTCCTGCTTGCGAAACTGTTAGGGGTGGGGCCCTCACCGACCACAGCTATTTACAGGTCTTCACAAGGTGGCCTGCGAAAGCTTAGGCTGCGTTTATACTTTGCGGCAGCGTAGCGTAGCGCTTCCAGCGTACGCCAGCGGCAGTGCCGGGGAGAGGATGCATATCGATCTAGCGTTCCCAGCGTCACCAGCGTTACGCCAGCGTTTCTCCAGCGTTTCACCAGCGTTTTGCTGGCGTTTGCAGCGGCAGGGGAGTAGAGACTATGGGGCCGTCAGAGACGCGCAATCGATGTGTTTTGTACCCTCCAGCTCTCCCATAGTCTCTACTCCCCTGCCGCTGCAAACGCTAGCAAAACGCTGGTGAAACGCTGGCGTACGCTAGCGTTACGCTGGTGACGCTGGGAACGCTAGATCGATATGCATCCTCTCCCCGGCACTGCCGCTGGCGTACGCTGGAAGCGCTACGCTACGCTGCCGCAAAGTATAAACGCAGCCTAACTGATTACCATTTGACGCCCGGCATAGTCCGAACTGGCGATTCGAAATAAAAAGCTCGAGAATATCCTTGGCAAACTTTTTGGGAACGAAGCGAAGATGGGGGTTTTTCAGTGGAGTACTCGGGGTCGTACCGAAGCATGGAGAAGGGGAAGGTGAGAAAATGTTGTGTGAGAATCGTAACACTGAGAAGTGTACATGTACGAAATTGCGTGTTTCTAAGAAATTAATTCATTTTTTTATTGTCGCCAGGTTCCGCCGCAATTCGCGTGGCGATTTCATCGCGTATTTTATGGATGAAACGTGTGGTTCCGAAAGAGACACCAATTGACAGCCATGGTTCCTTGCTCCGCCTTCAATCAGCCACAGGTTCTTTTGTCAATGATATATCCAACGCTACATAACGGAGGGGGCATGGAGAGGTGTGGTCAAAATCAGTGGACTGACTTTTGCCTAGAAAACGTAGAAACCCCTCTCCAAAGCTGATAACTTGGTGATAGAATCTACCGGAACAGGGTCAAGCATCCGATGGGGAATTCTCAACATGAGGGTATGTCTTATCTGGCTCGCTGAGAGGGGGAGGGGTCGTATTTGGAAAAATGAGAAGTCAGCAGAACTGTGATAACATGTGTGTGTTAAAGTTTAACAGCGTGGCTCTAGAAATAACGTAAAAGTAATCGCGAAATTACTTTCACATGCTCCTAACAACGGTTAGTATGTCATCAGACTCAGAATGCTGTTTCGCATTAGCAATGGCAAAGGTGACTCGGCTAAAAATTCGGCTCGGGAGAGGAGGGGGGGGGGGTGGGCGGTGGTCTCTGGGGGAGGGAGATGAACACCATCCCACGTGTTGTAGTCCACGTACCAGGTGCCTTCCGATTAGCAATATGAGGAATGACGTGGACTGAACTAGTAGCGACGGTAAGCGAGAGTGCTCTGCTTGACATGGGTATTCATCTGCCCCCCCCCTACCCTTTGAAAGTTGGTCGAAGAATTGAAATTATGAAAAAATGTGGCAGAATACTGGTTGTAATCAGCTTGCGAAGGGAGTCGCACTAATTGTGAGACTCCTTTTGAGGGTTTCGGAGCGATTCCGGCTTGGTTCACAAAACTAACGCTTCAGAATAAGGGAACAAAAATAAGGGTTATTTTTCGAGACCTGTGTTGTACGAATAAGAAATTGGATCAGGGAAATTGGTGTAGATTGGATTGTGTTGACAAAAAGGCTGCATTGGATTGAAATTTCTTGAACGCACTCACCCGTCTAATTAAACCGGCATGTTTTTTACAGGGCACGGAAGGCCGTCTAGGTTGAAAAAACGAAAATGGTAATAAAAATGAGCTCAGTAAATGCCAGCGTTTCCAGAAACTGATCAAATCGACTTGCACGGAAGTCCCGTGGATCCGTAATTAAAGACAGCTCCCGCGATAAAAGTGGCAAGGATAATTGCTGA